TAATCATATTAATATCATACATTATATAGTATACTATATCATATATATATTGTGTGGAAAGTCGATTCAAATTCTTAGCTTTTTGCTCGGCCATGGCGCCCTATGTTAATTATCAACTAACTAACTTTAATTTTAATTATATTAATGATTTTCTTATTACGACTACCCAGAAAACTCCCTTAGCTGAAATTCCATGACAAGCCCAACGTCTGTCTGTATGCGAGTTATGTTATAATCGAACTATTACGTACTGCCTCTCTATGCAAATCTCAAAAATGTAAGCAAATCAAGGAATGCTGATTCTGAGCTGTTAGCTGAACTTTTATTGGAGATAATACGATTATATCTCATTTAATTCGAGCTTATTTTCAGCAAATCCTTCGACGAGCGCCTAAAGCCTTGGATATTACAACTCTTGCACCGAAGTCACCGGAAAGGAAAATAAGTTCAATAATTATTGGGAAGCTCGGGAGAAAACAAAAAATTCAAAATAAACTTAGGCTATTTTCAAAATTGTTGCATTTTTTAGCCATCAAATTTGAGTGGCTCAAGACTAAGTTAAAGCGAACAGCCAAAATATGAGTTCACCTCCAAGTCGCAGTCCAGGAGCAGAGCCAAGTCCAATGGCAAGCCCAAAACCGTAGCCCGTCCGACCCGACCACATATAGCCCACTGTGCAAGACCAAAAACGTTGCCGCACATTTTGGTCGCTGCAAAACAACATTGGGCAAGATTACCGCCCACCAGAGGCGGCCCTGCACCCCGCCTACCACCCGCCGCCCGCCGCCCTGGTCTACATGTTGATCAACAAGCCGCCATATTGCTGCTTATGTAAATGCATCTCTGAGTCGCCCTCAGCCAGCAGACGGTGCACGCCCAATGAGAGCAGCACGGCAAGACGAACGGACGGAGGGACGGACGGATGGAGGCAGCGCTGGATGCTACCTGGGCAAATCTGGCAGGCCAGAAGGAGGACCCCAGCCCCAGTTAGAGCCAGAGTCAGGTTAAAGCCAGCCCAAGCAACGAAGCGAGCTGAAGGTAAACTCCTAAATAAATTCATTAAAATTATCCCAGTCGACAATGTCGTTGCACCGTCTGGACGGCCTCTCTCTCTCTTGCTCTCTCTCTCACTCTCTCTCTCTCTCTCTGTCACTCTGTGTGTCTCTGCCGGAGCGACGCGTCGTCTCGACCCTTATGGTCCAACTCCTACGGCATTGTCGCTATCAAGTGGCAGCCCACATTTGCGGGCTCGTGAAGGAAGCTGCTCCGGCTGCAAGCCATTGGGTCTAGAGTGTTGCTTGGAGCAGGAGGCTGCAGCGAGCGATGATAGAGCGAGATAGAGGAGAGAGCAGAGCGGAGCAGAGAGGGGGCAAAAGGCAGAGGGCAGAGGGCGGAGGGGCTGCTGCCAAAGAGGCTCAAATGCCAGGCCGCAGTCGCACATAGCACGCGGTCGACGGCGACGCTGACTGAAGATGCTGCTCTAAGCAAAGCACAGTCGACTCATTGCTGACTATGTGTGTGTGCACATATGCGTGTGTGTGTGTGTGTGTG